GAAAGAGTGCTGATAACCATCTATTCAAAACTGCATTAAAGTAATAAGAAAGAAGAGCTGCAGTTGCAGATTTCCATGTGTCATGTATATGTGCACATATATAAAACAAATATAAATAAAATATTTTTCTGCCAACTCGTGAGTTGTCCCTCAGTGGGACAACTGTTCAAGTTCTCATCTAAGCATAGATGGCCACTCATTTTGTTTACTTAAGGAAGAGGGTTAGGGTCTGCATCAGAAGCCAGGACTTCATGTGGACTAGGTCAGTAGGTATGAATCTGAGTAAACTAGACAGTCTTTTTTGAAATTGGGCATAGTACTATCGGAAGCTGAGACACAGCTAGAGCAAGACTAAACCTGAAGGCATTTTTTTGAATTCGTGATCTTATTTATAATTTAGTCTGTCTTTCCTGTGAAGTAAAAAGATCTGTGTGTCCATCTCGGTTAAGATGGCAGTTGTTGAGATCTAAATAAGGTTAAAGCATTGCTTTATTGTACTGAATTCATTTAGGCATTGTTCTGAGAAAGTAGAAATTTGAAAGCAGCTTCTGTTTTAGAAAGGCTGAGCTAGGACTAACAAAACCCAAATGTTCAGATTCTTTTTCCCAGTGCTTGAAAAAATATTATTTAATTTACCCAGATTGTGGCAGACTAAAGCTTTTTTAATGGGAAAACAAAAGAAAAGAAGTCATGATTTATGTGATGTAGTTTTAGAAGCCATTTAGGGGAAACAAAGTTATGGTGGGTATGATTTTATTTTTACTTTGTTTTTAACCTAACCCTCACATATAAGGTGCCAAAATGTAGTCTGTCTTGAGACAAATTTTCAGCTCAATTTAATCCACTATGAAGTGAACCAGATCAAAAAAATACTTGAAAAATCTGAACTTCCAGGCCAACATTATTTTAACAAATTTTGAGATGTTTATCTTGCAGTAAGACTGGTTCTTCTTATCCCATGAAAGTGAAGGCAAATAAATGTTGCTATTAGCCAGTTTCAATTAGAAAAAGGTGAGTCAGCAAGGCTTTGTGGAAACTGAAGGATTGTGCCCAGCACCAGTGATCAGTCAGGGAAGGCACTGGGTTGAGCGGCAGGTTGCCCTGCTTCCTCCTCACCTGTCTGGAAAATGAAGGCAGACCTTACTTTTCCACAGTGTTCTCCCAAGGCTTCTGTAAGACAACTGCAAGCCCAAGGCAATATGAATATATATATGTTTTTATATATATTTTTTATATGTATTTTACTCATAAAGGCACACAATATACATAAAAATTAGTCTCTTCTGAAGAGAAGATTTGTAAGAAAAGGTAAAGATAATAGTGGAATAGCTCACCCTGCAGTCTCTGCTGTGGCTGGTATTGTACGAATGACTGGCAGGTGATTTACTGTGCTATATTAGATGACATCTCTGCAGCAATATCTTCTTTCTGGAGATTCTTCAATTATTCCTAATTCTTGTTTCTGACAAGATCACTTATTTTCAGAGAGACACTCTCTTTTGTGTCAATGTTCTTTGTCAATTTTGTCTTTCTGTAAGTTTTGTACGTATTAGTTCAGATTCTGAAATAAGTTATAATTGATTATCTGCTCAGTGTCAATAGGAATGGTGGGAAATAAATGAATTTTCAGTTTGAAGTTTGACTGCACTATATACAGATTAAAACCCACACATTAGGGAGCATTGATCTGATGAGTTTTTTAATGTTTACATTCCAAGTAGCAGCAATAGCAAACTCACTGGTACATCAATAAGAATAGCTTGGCATTCCGCTCTTCATTTATTTAATATCTAAGCAAATATTAGCATTGTTTTCAAATTAAGATTAGAAATTATTTTTTCCATAACTTATTCAGTATTTATAATTTCATGACATTTCTTAATAACATACTATTGATCAGTTGGCCTGTGCTTTGCTGGAGCTGTATCCTCCTTCTGAAGAATTTGAGCTATGGTTGTACTTACCTCGGTATCAGACGTGCTAATTTATTATTAAGTATTTAGATCATTTTCTGTCTTCCTTATAGCAAAACCAGTGTCTGGTGACTCATTTAGTAAATGTTTCCACTAACGCTAAACAAAATTGCTTTCTAATGAAGAGATAATTCTTTCACTAGTTAAAAGTCCTTTGGCAGCCTATTTGTCTACCTGGCATTTCCCAGGTAAGGCGTCCTGCGTTGAAGCTGAGTTACAGCATTTGATAGAAAACTTGTGTGTTGTTTTACCAATCTGCAATTAAAGGTAGTGCTGAGCAGTCAACTATGTGAAACCACTGAGTGTTTTTAAGCAGCTTTTAAGTGTTTTTAAGACTAAAAGATTAAAACACGTGAAACAAAACACAATATTCTGACGTTATCCTCCTTAATACCCAGATGCATGCTTTGTATTTCCATTTCTAAGCACAACTGGAGTCAGTGCTGAGTGGTCTTCTTGCCTGCCTGTGATCAAACACAAATAATTTCAAGCTGCTAATGCTGAAGGCTCCTTCCTCCCCATCAATCCTTATGGTGCATTTGAGCTTTGTTTCAGTACGACTACACCTCTTGCCTGGTGTCATTGCTCAAATTATTGACTTCTCAAGGATTTTAAAACCAAAATGAAAGGCAGAAGGTAGTAGTTTAATCAGAAGTACTCCTTATGGTTGTTTCTGTGGCTTTGGAGTGTGGTGTCCTTCTGAGCGTATCTTCTGAGATTGTGTGAGGAGTGTAGAAATTATGTGGTAATCTAAAATTGTCCACTTAGCCTGCTTTATCAACTATAAGTTAGAAGTTATTCTCTTATATTGGCTACTGCTTCTGAGTAACAGCTTACAGCTCAGTTTTATGATTAACTGATATTTTAGTGCCAAAGGAGGTCAGTAGTTCAGCCTGTCCAGAGCTTAATATATGTACACAGTGGAATTGCTTGCTCCTACTTTACTGAAGTTCAGTGCAAAGGTGTGATTTTTCTTTTTTTTTTTTTATCCCAGTAAAACCTGGAGAATTATAGAGCAGTTGGAGAAAGAGTCCTGTGTGGTTTTAGTTTTTTCCAAGTGACTTCATTTTGGGAAACTTATGCCTGTATTATTTGGTTTTGATAATAAAATGAGTAAAGAGGAGGGAAAGCTTTATAGCATTACCAAAGCTGAGAACAGAACAATATATTGATTTTATTATTGTTGTTGTTGTTATTAATAATAATATTAATTTGTTCAAAATCATTATCTGTCACAGAGACCTAACGGTAACAACCAGCCTCAGGGCATTATAGCAGAGATGCTGTTTCAGTGGTGCAGTGCTGGTGTGTGATCGCCTGCAGTTGAAGGCTTGAGAGCTGAGCAGCTTTCTGCCTGCCTTTTTCAAGTGCAGAATGTTTGTTTAAAATTTGCACATTTATTAATTTTTAAAACAATATACACAGAAAACATGATACTGCTGAATTTGTCTCTAGCAAAACAAAATAAAAGGGAAGACAAAAGATGGGGAAACACTGAAAAAGAAAAGCAAGTTAAGGTTGATTTTGGTTTTAGTTTTTCATTTTCTTGAGATTTTTAACAGAGGGACCCTGGCAATGTTGCCATTGAGAAAGTGACTTTGCATGACCATCTGGAGAACTAAAATGTTGTTCTGGTTACATAAAGATTGAACTGATTTTTTAAATGAGTAGGGTGAAAGACATGGTGCAGTATAGAATCTGTGTGTGCTAATGAGGGATGCGTACAGAGCTTTTTTGGTCAGTGTTTGCCTTTTACACTTGAAGGGTGGAGGTGGGGAGTTCAAGGTGGAGAAGGGGATTTATAGGCTTTGCTGTGTGCTGTACATAAGAATTTAGGATGCTGGTATGTGAGGCAAGGGGCTTGTAAAATTGAGTACAGTCAGCATCACAGGAGGGTTCTGAAAAATATGACATTGAATGGATAAGCTGTGCTCTTTGTGTCTCTTGCAGTAGTGAATCTGAAATTAATATTTAAATAGTTAATAAATAGTAATAAGAATACAGATAAATGTGTCATTTTCAATATTTTTTTTTTTAAAGTGGACAGGGAGAAGATATTTACCTTTACAGCAAAACAGTTATCTTAATGTTACAAACAGAATCTTTACCTTTTTTTCCCCTCAAAGTAGATATCATTAGAGACTTAAAATATAGATTCAAGAGGAGCTTAAATACATTTTGAGTGCTTAAATTACATGATCTTATTACTCGTGGTTTTGTTGTTCACAAGTTGAACACTTTCTTAGAATAAACTAAAAATGAACAACTTGAAACTAAATGAATGTGGTACTTTTAAAAATTATTTGCATTTGTCATTGCGGAAAGGTCTACATTACGCCAACATTTATAAGTTGCTGTTGTTTTTGCAAATGTGTTTGGCATTCATGACTGTTTCTGGGCTTTTGGCCAAGTAGTAATTGGAAACATTTAAGATCTCGCTATCAGATACCAAATGCACCA